TTTCTCCCCCCCCCCCCTCCCTATTTCTCTTCTATTGCGCATTAAACATAAATAATAAGTATGAGAGAATCTTGATATCGATTTTAGTTGAGACTCACGAAGATCCCTAAAAATTTGTTATTGAACTATTGAGCCTATATATCTTTTTCTTTACATACAATATTAGGATATTAAAATTAAAACATTTTTCTAAGTATTTTTCTAAGAATTCTTCTACATCATACTACTTATACTTTTGATCTTTTTATATAATTAAAAGTATCCAAATTCATAGATATTTATAATGACAACTAAGTAAAATCTATTCATTAGATATTACAATTCAAAATCATTCACTTGCAAAAAAAAAATCATTTATAGTTGGAACTATGATAATATAATATTTTAAACAAAACTACAAAACTAATACATTCATTTTTGACTAAACATATTATTTCTACATATTTAACACATTTTCAGTAACGTTTCTCTTTTTATTTATATTAAATATATCTTTTATAATTAATATACAAGATATTATTTTTTTCAATTTTATATCATTAGCATTTAAAGTAAGTTGTCTTTTGAATTGATATTACAAGAGCGAGCTGAAAAGTACACACGCTCGGTTATCTCAAGAACAAAAAGAGGTATCTAAAAAAAACAAAAAATAGAATAAAAATATTTATTAATTACAAATCTATATATTTATTTTAAAACATATAAAAGCATATAATTAGCTACGACTATACGACTTCAAAGTCAGATCCTTTGTTACAGGAGTATAAGAAACATTCATTTATAAGCCCTATTATTCCGATCCATAGTATTCCATTTCATAGATGCTCTATAATAATAGCTTTTACAATAAAATATTATTTATTCTTTAGTGTAAAAAAAAAACCACGATTTTAATAAAAATGTAATGAGAAAAATTTGTTGAGATGGCTCTAGAAAATGATAAAATCGATCATTGCTTTCTTCTATTTAAAATGTTTCTCAAAATTTGTCCTAGATACTAAGTCTATTTTAACTATGACTTTCGGATTCAGCAAGTGAAACTGAGTGAAAAAAAAAGGTGATGCTTCATAATAACACAATTTTCATGTTATTAGCGGTATGTATAAAGTATCTCTCTACATATGATTATATATGTGTTTATATATAAATAAATAAATAAATGAAATTTTTATAGGCCAGTGAAACAAGCGCTATTACTTTGAATTTTTTGGTCTTTGTATTAGCAAATTTCTCAGAGATACAAGTATGTATATATATTAAATTCAATCATAAACAATTTATTTGTTCATTTAAAAAATGATACGTTGTAGATTATATGTATAGTTCTATAATAAATATAGAAACTATATTTTTTGAACAATAATTAAGAAACACATTTCTGAATAAATTCTATTATTCTAATAATAACTTGCTCAGAGTCAGCTTTTTATATATTAGATAAGAGTCTATCCATACGAATTTACATAGTCGCGTAAACATATGCATAATAAAATTGATTGGTCCATTTTCTTATGCATTTGCTTATGGACCAAAGAATTTCCTTATGCATATGTTTATGTGATTTTGCAAATCCGACTGGATAATCTTATTTATGCACTGTAAAGACAATCTCATAAATTTCAATGGTCTTTATATATATTATCAAGGACCTGAGTAACTTTCAAAAAGTTTTAGCTGTCGCTCGTTGTTTATTAAAAAGTTATTAACAAACTAAATTTAATGAATAGAATATAATTTTCACACGGCGAGTATCATTTTAACAGGCGAGCAAGTGGGTTAAATAATAACTTTGTTTCATGTTTTAATTAAGTTCAACATTTTAATGAAACCATACAAGAATATTTACTTCATATTTATCATCATCAATATTTCAACAGAATAAAGTAATTTTGTAAATATAATTAATAAGATTCCATCTTATAATATATATGTATTGTATGTATTTATATTTATATTTATATAATTAAACATTTTATTTAATTTTATAAAAGGAGAAAGTGTATGAAGAATTACTGGAAATTTATGGAACCAAATCTCCAAGATCGGCCCCAATAAAATACGAAGATTTACAACGTATGAATTATTTGGAAAATGTTATCAAGGAAACTATGAGATTATTTCCTACTGTTCCACTAATTGCGCGAAAGCTAACTGAGGATATAAACATAGGTTTGTAAATATAAGTATGTCGTTATTATATATATGCATATATGTATTATTGTATATATATTTTTATATTTTTATAAACTGAACTACAAATATGTAGTCATTATTTAAGAATAATGCTTTTCTGTTTAGATTGAGATAAATATACAAAACTATTTGATAATATAATATAATAGATGCATGTGAATATTTTTAGAAGTGATTCTTTTGCATACCTTTAATTTTTTTGAAGTATTTGGATTATGAATCATGACCAAATTAAGAACAATATTCAAAGATATAGATATCAAAACATGAATTTTTCTCCATTCAACTTTAGAAAATTTTGTTTAAAAAAACTGTATTTTATCATGTTTTAAAAAATTACGAAGATTTACAACGTATGAATTATTTGGAAAATGTTATCAAGGAAACTATGAGATTATTTCCTACTGTTCCACTAATTGCGCGAAAGCTAACTGAGGATATAAACATAGGTTTGTAAATATAAGTATGTCGTTATTATATATATGCATATATGTATTATTGTATATATATTTTTATATTTTTATAAACTGAACTACAAATATGTAGTCATTATTTAAGAATAATGCTTTTCTGTTTAGATTGAGATAAATATACAAAACTATTTGATAATATAATATAATAGATGCATGTGAATATTTTTAGAAGTGATTCTTTTGCATACCTTTAATTTTTTTGAAGTATTTGGATTATGAATCATGACCAAATTAAGAACAATATTCAAAGATATAGATATCAAAACATGAATTTTTCTCCATTCAACTTTAGAAAATTTTGTTTAAAAAAACTGTATTTTATCATGTTTTAAAAAATTATTAAAAATTAAGGCTATTTAGAAATACAAAAGAAATGATTTTTAAAATTATCAAAGTTTAACGAAGAAAAATTTAAGAAAGCCATTTTATCTTTTAATAAGAAATAACGTTTTGTAAATCAAATATACATCTGCCTGAAAATTAAATGTAACTCGATTTATACTAGTCCTATTGCTTTATTTATGAGCTAATTATCATGCTGGTATTATAATAACATTAAAATGCAAAAATATATGTTTCAGGAGAGATTATCTTACCTAAAGGCGCTGATATTGTTCTACAAATAATGTCCGCACATCGAAACGAAAAGTATTGGCCCAATCCGTTAGTATTCAATCCGGACAGATTCCTTCCTGAAAATATAGGAACGTCTAATTCATCTTACATGCCGTTTAGTTTAGGATCCAGAAACTGTATAGGTAAGTACGAACAAATTACATAACATGCAGTATAAAATTGATTTGCATATAATTGATAAACTTTGGCAGGTATAAAATATGCAATGACTTCGTTGAAAGTTTTTCTATCAACTTTGGTACGAACATTCGTATTTAAAATAGATAAAAGCATTCCGGTAGATGAAATTAAATTCAATTATGACTTGATGCTAAATTTTGCTGAACCTATAAAAATCAGAATTGAAAAACGAGATGTAGATTGAAATAGTCTTAGGAATATACTTATTGAAAGATATTCTAATATTTTTTTGTACTATAATGTTTCTCTTGTATACAAAGTATTATATATACATATAATATAGTAGACAAAAAGGAGCATATATCTATAACTGTACTATACAATATTTGAATGCAATTTGAATACAATTTTGAATATTTTGTAATACATAAGATATTAGATAAGGTATTAGATTGTAGTTTGAATTTTCTGCATATTATAAAAAGTTCTATTATTCTTCAACGGATTATAGCAACTAACATTTTTCGTCATACATAAAAAAAATATATATATGTATAACTTTATATAATATCACGTAAAGAAAATAAAAAGTAACAAAATAAAAAGCGTAAGTTATTTAAATCTTTTCTGTTTCACACACACAACAATCTTCAATTAAAAAAGCATCAAACATATCTAGTTTATTCTGTATGATCATTAAATACAGTAATTCGCGTAAAACGACATTCAAACCAAAGGAAAAAATTAAAACTTGGCGTGTCCAACTCGTATTAAGACGTATTTATCTTAGTATTTCAATTAGATAATTACACAAGCCGACACATTCTCGCTATCTCGGACTGAACAGGGTGATTTTGAAAGATTTTGATGCGATAAAACCAAATCCGTTGATAAAATTGGTCTATCACGTCAGGTTTTTGAAATAGATGCAGCGAAAGATGCGAAAAATCGCATTTTTTGCACTTTCTGATCGGCTATATCTCTGAATAGGAACGTGTCACGAACTCCAATAAGATCTCAAATTGAAGCTTGAGACTTCTACTCTATATAGAAAATCTTAAAGTCCCAAACCAAAAATATTTGTCCTGATAAAACCAGTCAAAGTGCAAAAAGAAACATTTTTCTCAATTCTTGATCGGTTATATCTCTAACCAGAAGCGTGGTGCGGGACTGCAGTGACCACGCAAATTGAAGCTCAAGATTTCGAGTTTACGTGAAAAATCCAGTCCGAGATAGCGCGAATGAGGTCAAATTTGTCGGCCTGTGTTATTTTATATTACTTTTAATCAAAATATTATTTATTTATTATAAACAAATCAATGCATATGCTTTCATGCAAGATAATTCATGTATGCTCTTACGTGTGCAAAATAAACTGATGTAATATATGCAGCATTATGAAGTAACTTAGTCCGCTTGAGAAACAAAAATTGTATGTAGGGATATATTTTTGAAATATATCATTTATTTAGTTTTAATATACGCGCGTATGCAGATAGAGTTTAAAATTATTTGGATTATACAAGGATCATCAAGTTTGTGGTGATCAGATAGTATTTCGTATTTTGACGAACGATTTGCAGAAAAGAAAAGTTAGGCCCGATAGGTCTCTCACTGCTTGACTGCTGCACAGAAACAGATTCGCCTGGACAATGCAACTTTATTTCAAACTTCACGCAAAACATTGTGAATGTCTGAATGGATTTTTGGCCATTTAAAGTTTCATTCTTGACGTACGATCGTTGATCTCCACGCGTCACAGTACCTGAGGCGTCTGCAGAGCGTCTGCTATTTCTAACACTCGTCAATTTACAATGACACGCATTATGAAAGTTTTTTAAGCTACGTATCGCTTCCTCAAGTTCTCCACTACAATTGATCAAACATTTCGTTGGGATTGCACCATCCAGTCCGCGGCGTAACCACATTGTGCATTACTTATGAAATGACCCTCGTACGTATAAAATATTTATAAAATGTATTTGTTTAGTTAATAAAAATTTAATGAATATTCTTATATAATTTAAAGAACAAAATACTTACATAATTGAACTATCTAGAAAATATGTAGCTACTTCTTTATGTAAATATTTTTATATCATAATATAAACAAACTCTTCTTGCGCAATATTTAAATTAGATTAATAATTCTGATGCCTATCTGCATTAATGCATATGCTTTATAATCATTAGTGTGTATACAAGATAACTCGTATAATACATGCATTTTTATAAATAACTTGGTTTGTTGAAAAATAACAAGAAATGTATATAAGTACATTCCCTGAATTGTATATAAATATAACTACTAAATTTTTATTAACAAATAAAATAATATATTTCATAAATATTTCCTATATATTCAACAAACCAGGTTATTCGTAAAAATGCATATATTATACGAATTATCTTGCATACGCAATAATGATTTAAGAATATGCAGTAATTATTTATTTATTTCTCACCTGATTAAACTATCCAGAGAGTATATAACTACCACTTTTTCTTTAAAAGTTTTTTTATATAAACAAACTCTCCTCCTGCAATATTTAAATTAGATTAATACTTTTGAATCCTATCTGCATTGGTGTATATGCTCTTAAATCGATGCGTATACAGAATAACTCGTAAAATACATGCATCTTTATTTATAATTAACTTGGTTTGTTGAAAAATAGCAAAAATTGTATATAAGTACATTTTCTAAATTGTATATAAATATATCTACTAAATTTTTATTAACCAAACAAACAATATATTTCATAAATATTTCCTACATATAATTCTTGCTATTTTTCAACAAATTAACTTATTCGTGAAGATTCATGTACAATATTATCCGAGTTATTTTATATACGCAATAATAATAAAAGCATATGTACTAATATTTATTTATAATAAATAAATATTATTTCGATGTATATAAAGCAATTATCTGATTAAATCAGAAGAAAGTTGCCACACTTTTTATAAGCCACACAAAGTTTTTACAAATTTAATTTATATTACGCAGATTAGAAGATTTATGCTACAATAATTATGAAATATTTTATTTACATTACGTTATACAATAATGTAAAATGAATTACTATCGTGAAGATAAACGAGCACTTATTTTTAAAAGTAAATTAAAAATAAATTCTAAATTATTTACCATACAATTGCTTCGCCTTGGCCGATGCTTCCTTGAGCTTGTTCCTCCTCTCTTGTTTGTCTTTTGTTGCTCTTGAATGGCACTCACACTCACTCGCGAAAATATAGTTAATTACGATCATGCGTGCACTAATCGATAGAATAATAGATAATCGCGCGACGCACACTTTATTCTATTTTCGGAAGAATAATTCGAAAACACTATATAATTCGCTCCACATTAAATAACGACTATACTTAATAATTAAACGCAAAGACTTAAACACAATAAAAAAATGTAAAACGATATCAGCGCTTTTGCTCTAATATTGTATGATACAATGCAATTCAAGTTAATTATTAATTAAGATAAGCTAGATTACCAAAAAATATACAATCAAAACTCGCCATACGTGATATATATTTCGTATATATAAAACGCGAGAAATAAAGATATTATTATATAAATGATATATTATGGCTTTCAATTACTTGAATTGTTCGATGTGTTACTTCGTGCTCTCGATTCGCGAGATGAATGTAAGCGAATTATATTTAAATCGAAAAGTGTGTAATTATATATTTAACGAAAAGTTTCAATATGCATGCCAGATATATCCAAATCCAAGAATTAAATAAATAATTATCATTAAATTAGGAATAAGCGACACTAATTTATAATTGTATAATTCTCTATCAATATATTCACAAATGGGTATTAATCAATCGCGTGAGTTGATAATCTCTAATTATATTAATTTTAAGAAATGATCGCACTTGGCATCTCCTAGCAGTACTTGTCGCAATCGTATTTAGGGAATATTACGACTGTATTATGACTTTTTGGTATTTCATTTACTCCATTTTTATGTGTTATTGTACGCTCTCAATACGAAAATGATAAATGACGTTTAAAAGTCGGTGAACAATATTAAACTCTGATAAATAGCCATCATTATGATACTCATACGAGTCTTTCATCGCGAGAGTTAATCAACGCGGTAACCTTCGCTTTTCGCGACGTACAGAGTGCCGTTGTTGACATGCCTTGGCCTTGTCATTTGTGTCGCGAGACTCGAGCGAGAGGGTAGTAAATCGCGAGCCCTCCCTCATAATGTCATAGAATTACCCTTCAACATGCGAGATTATTTCTTATAACTTTCGCAATTGGCGATTCACGCGATTAAACGATTCCTTGACTACAGATATAAATATATTATTTTATTCTAATATTGATGTTAATAATTATTTCTTTGTATGCGTAGATTTGAATATATCTTGCGTCGTGCTTTAAACTTTTTATCGCAATTTAAATATAGTTCGTGCTCAGAATCATAATATCGAGAGTACGAAATAATACGCGTATCAGCGAATAATTTAAGTAATGGAAAGCCGGTATTTACATGCCATTGTAATCTGTTAAAGTGCGTATTTTTCGCGAGATTTATTCGATCGAAGTCGGTTGTGCAAATAATCGGCAAGTCCAAGTATATTTTTGACTACCGTACAGTTCGCGGAGATATTTTTATTTTAAATTTTAACTTATATATTTATTCGCTTATATGTACATAATACATTACGATGCGAGATAATAGAATTGTTTCAAAATGCGGACACAGATTATTTATTAAAAACAGAGATAACGCTTCCGCGACGTGTATCACGTGAATCCAATCGTGCAATTTTAGACAGCCGTCGCGTTTTTCTTTCTCATAATATAATAAAGTACGCGTTTTTAACTGTATTTTTGTGAGTGAATATTGTGTGAGTGTCACAACAACAACAAGGATGAACAAGAGAGGAGGAAGAGGAGGGAGGGGCCCGAGCAGGGGCATCGTCATCGGCGGAGCAACTGTGGGGTAAGCGATTTATAATTTATTTAATTTATTTGTTATTTGTAAAATTAATTACTTTGCGAGTGTAATTTACTTTATGCTTTTATAATATATATAAAATATGCTAGATTTTATTTTGGGATATTTAAGAAATTGTTGAATGTAGGAGTCAGGTCAGGGAGTTTTTCTAAATATGTATGTGGAGAGAGAGAGAGAGAGAGAAATGTGTGTGTGTATAATTTTACTACTAGTATTTAAACTAGCTCGCGTCTGATCGTCTAGCGATGAATCAAAGAAATCTCTTCAGATATCCGTGTAATATTTTGAAATATAGCTGAAACCAGTTATTCCATCTTCAATTAAGTGCCTGATAATTCATCTACAGATACATATTGTGAGTTTTTTAGCTCATTTTTAGCAGCAAATTATAATGCAAAGAGAAAGAGAGACTGAGAGCAATGCTCTCTGGAAGTTGCATTTTTGAACTGGTTTTCGTAGTTTTGGTACCTGTTGTCCCCTTCTTGCCATTCGCTTTTTACCGACGAACCATTTTGACCCAGCCTATTTCGTCCGCTCAATAAACGAACTTTTAGATTGCAACTGCACTTACAACGGAACAACGATGTATATTATTT